CTCTTTCCTTGAGTTGCTGCTGTTGCTAGAGCTGCTTGGTGCAAATACCGAGCATACAATGACTCCAAGCCACAAAGGTGCCACCTGCGTTATGCTTTACAAGGAACGCGTCTCCGTGGACAGCTTCATTCAGCCATGTGCCATGTCCTACACCGGGCTCTGAGCAACCTGCTCTAGTTGAAGATGTCCCCGCTCATTGCAGGGAGGGGTTGGACTAGACGGACTTAAAAGGTCCCTTCCAATCTAAACCATTAGATGATTCTGTGATTGATGAGGACATCGGTGTCACCTTCCAGTATGCTCCAATGTTCTGGAGCTGCCACGGTTTGACTCATGCTGGGGTCAGGTCCTTTACCCCAGCTCTATTTAACTAGACAATATTTAGCCTGGGAGGAACCAATCTGGCCATTGGCGTGTCTGTCACTATTGTACTTGACGACTTCCAAACACGTGGGGAGCTCATCCATACAGCAATCAGAGAGGGCAGGAGGACAGTATTGTTTCCAGCACTGTTACCTCTGTTTAACGAACTAAGGCAGCTAAGAGATAAGGTTGTTAAAGGCACTTCTGCATCTAACTCCCGTTGAGTTCAAAGCCCAGAACCTCAAAGGTACATCAGCAAGTTTCATTTCCTGCATCAGACATGCAGTTTGTGGTATAGAACCTCTCCCATAGCCCTTTTGTGCTCCTAAACCATTTTCTACCACCTCTCCACAACCTCTCTGCCCGGGTCTGTTTTGACCAGTCTGTTTAATCTTCCACATCGTTTTGCTTCCTCACTCTTAGGTGTCCTGCACCCATACTCACGCCCATCTCTAATTCCCCATCTCCTAGCCTACTGCCATCCCCAACTCCCTTCCACTGTACCTTCACCGTCTCTCTTTAGTGTATCTTTCTCTTTCGTACTTGCCCAAGTTTTCTTCTTTCTCATCGGCCTTGTGAGATCCCCTTTTTTCATTATCATCCTCTATCCCTTCCCATCTCGGCTCCAAGACCTCAAGCTGCGCCTGCCTTCCTCCTCTGCCGCCCCATCCCTCCTCTCAGGACACCACGATCCTTCTGGCAGGTTAAGGCTCGCTCCAGTCAAGCCCTCATGTAGATTTTAATTATTTTTGTTTAAAACTGATATTCTACTCTGCTTATCCTCGGTGTAACCTTCTCCACTTCCCTCCTAAATGCTTCCTGACTTGTGGTCAGTGTAGACAGGAACACGTTCAGTTCAGCATTGCATCAGCAGAATGAATGGTTAAACCTCATGATTAAACCACTGCAACATTTCCTAGCAGAGAAAAGCCCTTACACAGCTGTCATTCTTCAACCCAAAGGTGGCTGCACGCCAGTACTGCAGCGTGTAGCAGTCCTGGGAGGGAAGAGGAAAAAAGGTGATTAAAGATGCTAATTTGAGTTGAATTAAACACAGGTAACTTTTTTCACCCTCAAGGTCACAGATTATAGCTACTGTTTTTGCAGACCCTCTAGGAGTCCAGAATGGTCCCGCTAGTCTGGAACTATTCTGGACTCTCATGCAGCTTAACAAACATCTTTAGCTTTAAAACAGTAGGTAAACTTGTATTAGAAATTCCAATAGCTACATCTGAGATGCTCAGCTTTTACTATCCCATCATCTCTCAGCTAGAAGAACAGTGTAAAATAGCATTCATATTTTCAGGCAATAACAGTCACGCATTGATTTTATTATTAAGTCTTTCTTCGGACTGACCGATGTTGCCATCTATTGTGATCGTACCGTGGCAATTTAAGAATCAATTTCAGATTAAAGACTGTAGCTCACTGCAATCAGCCTGGACTCTCTCACACTCAACATATGCCTTGAACAGTCTGCAGGTTTATCTTGGGAATGTAGACAAGGATAATGAGATTTTTAAGGAGAGATATAACACACGTTGCCATTACATACACACAATTTCAAATGCATCTTTATAAAAAGAAGGTAAGTAATGGCAGAAATGATCTTTCTCTGATGGTCCCCCTGAGCAGTGGACCCAGGATAGCTCAATGCATTGCTAACGAGACACAGAGAACCTGACTTCCAGGTCAGTAATTCAAACTCAGCTCCTTTAAATGACTGCAATGATCCAGGGCTGTGTGGTGGCCATGTCTTCTCATTCATTAAAAATGAGAAATCCTAGAGGTCCAGCACGGAGAGAACTTCTGCACCAGCATCCGTCCTGCAAGATTTACCACTGTTAAGATAAAAAACTACCCCTACTGTTTCACTACGAGGGTGTTCACTGAAAATGAAATTTGTTAACATTCAAAATCATCAAATTTTAGTAACCTCAAAGTGTTTCTGCTGTTTCAGACTGACTTTAAAACAATTTCTAACAGCAAGTTCTAACACCATGTAAGAAGCTTGACCAATGCCATAAAGCTTTCAGAGTTTTGACAAATGGTAATTCAAGGAATGTTTAAATTCAGCTCTGTGCCGTTTATGTCCTGCATGCTCTGCTTCCAAGCGAGTGAGCAGGAGCCTTCGCCATGTGCTGCAGACAGACAGGAGATGACACCAAATTAATGTTTCAGGAGAGCTGCCAAACAACCAGGTCACAGGAGTCTCAGGGCACTCCCAGAAAACACCGTAGCCAGCACTGGTGAGTGTTTTACCACGATTAACAAAATTCCCAGAGTGGCACGTCAAAGCAGCAATGTAGAAAACCATTTTCTTCTGCTTTGCTGCTCGTGTCCAACTTCATCCTGGAAAGGCACTTGTTCACCAGCTGGTGACACCCAAACGAATCTTATTTTTAGGACTTTCTGAAAAGAGGGACCACTCTAAGGCATCTTAAATGGTAGTCCTAATCATAGAGGAAAAGCCTTGGCATGGGATAAATCATCTCTTTTTTCCCTTCACAGCCCTATTCGTTCGGCTGGATGGTGTCGAAAGATGTAGAAGTTCTTCATCACCCGTGCGCTTCGCTATTGAAATCTTTGCACTCATTGCCCCACCATAAATGGGTCCAGTGGAGCCGTTACTTGCATTTCTCTCCAGTCATTACCAGAGCAGAGACAACCTCAGCTAGTTTAAAACAAAGCGTCCTGAGTCAGTACTTGAAAACCCGAGAGCCAGAGGTAACACTAGGATTTGAACTGCACGATTTAAGTACAGACACCACTTATCAGCTCTGGTGAATCAACCTACCACAGCACCCTATCTCGTCTTCTTCTGCCAGACAAAGCAGAAGTCGGAGTTCGTGGTTGGGACGAGGGTATAAACTAGACAGACCAAGAACTTTGCAGACTGTCTGCTCTGTCAATCATATGATTTGATGAAAAACCACAGGAAGTCCGATGAACAGATGCAGAACTGAACTGCAATAACTCCCCTACCACAAAAGTTCAACAACATCATTTTTTTTGGGGGGTGTTTTTTGTTTTTTTTTTTTTTTTTTTTCAGTTAACGATTAGGAAGATAGCATCACAGCCAGCCAACAGCACCTGGCACGGCTCCAGGCAACTCAGTGGCATTTGAGCTAGA